AATGTGTATTTCTGATACATAAATTAAGTAAAACAAAAGTGAAAGTTAGGGTGAGATGTTGTGATGCTTTTTTAACCATTTCAATCTAGTTTAATTTTGTGCACCGGTCCTATTAAGGTTTGTTCAAAATCACTTGAGATTCTTAAGATTTCAAGACCGGTCCAACTTGAATTTATTAAACTTGGTTCTATTTAATTAAATCAGGTTAAAGTAGACAGACCAAAGTTTTTTCCAGTACGTAAAAGATAATGTCCTCCACATATAACATTCCAATCGAAAGTAATATATATAGTGATCTTACAAATCTTGTTTTTGTTTTTGTTTTGCAAAGCGAGTTGATGAAAGAATATGGAGAAAAGATGACAGAACTGTGTGAGAAGATAATGAAAGCAATCCTCTCTAGCTTCGGTGACGATCTTCATCACAAATATTACGAATCCGAGTTTGGAAACTGCCATGGCTACTTCAGGATCAACAACTACACAATCCCTTTGAAAGAAGATGATCACAAAGAAGAAGATGATTCGATCGAAGGGCTGGGAATGCACACCGACATGAGCTGCATTACGATCGTTGATCAAGACGACATCGGTGGACTTCAGGTCAGGTCAAGAGACGGGATTGGTCTCATGGACATAATCCCTAAAGACAACGCCCTCGTCGTCAACGTCGGAGATCTATTGCACGCTTGGACCAATGGACGGCTCAGATCGTCCCAGCACAGAGTTGTCTTGAAACGACGTGGTTTCGCTGGTAGCAGATTCTCCCTCGCTTTCTTCTGGTGCTTCGACGATGGGAAAGTCGTCTTTGCTCCTGATGTAGTCGTGGGAGGCTGCGAAGGTGCGAGAGTATTTCAGTCATTTACGTGTGGGGATTATCTGAGGTTTAGAGAGAGTAACGTGAGAGGGAAGTTCGAGAAGGTTGGCTACACGGTCGAAGACTTTGCACGAATTGAAGACCGTCATTAATAATTTTCATTTTTTTTTTCCTTATAAATAAGTGACATATTAATAATTTAATACACTATAATTACTGTAGAGAGAAAAGAAGAATTTTTGTTTTCACTATTGGTTTGTGAAAAAAGTAACAAAATAATGAAAAATTTGCTAAATTGACTCGGTTTGAATTAGTGTTTTGTAAATTAACTTTCTATCTATGATTTTTTGTCTCAATAACCTTTGCTACTTTCATATCATAATTTTAACATTCAAATTGAATAAAAATAATCTTTTTACAATATTTGCGGAATATATATTTGTTTTTACGAAATTAAAAGAAAAAGAGAATATTTATTTTTGGAAATTTTCTTTTTAACATAC